GAAACCAATTATTTGTGAAATCAATTCCTGACTTCTGTTTCTTTTCAAGCGCAAACATTCTTTCTCCTCAATGCTATTCATTGTTTTCCTTGAAATATTTAGTTTTAAGGGATAATAATGTTAAACATTTGATACTTCTATTAATTCATGCATCTATGACGGTATTAACTACTTTAAAAAATCTAATTTAAAGATAAAACTTTACTGTGGGGAAGGCGCATTTATGGATAAAATCACGCAAGCACGCTCCGTTATTGCAAGACTTTTTAATATGTGTGAATCAGGGCGCAAGGAAATGGCTCCAATTATGGTTTCGGAAATGTCATCATCACAACATTGTTATTGTCAGATGACACCATACATGCACGCAAAAAAGACATGGCGATATCGGATTTTTTTACGAACAACAAATAAACGAATCGCAGAAGTCGTCGAACAAATTTAGTCTCGGGTTGTGATATTATCCGCATGCTTCTGCAGATGTTAATTTATGTAAAAAGGGGCATTCACATTTTATTATATACCTAGATATGTTTTAACGACAAAATTCAAATTATTTTTATCTGGTTAGAATTAATTTCAATGATACGAAAGGTCATGTATACAAAATTGTAATAAGGTGTTTTGTATAATAAATAAGACTCGCATTTCGTTCATATGACCCCCGCATGCATTAACTTAAGAAAAATAGTTGTTTTCAAATGATTATTTTTATGCATAAATAAGCTTAATTTCATTTAAATAAATATCATTTTTTATAATCTTTGACACTATGGTATTGTATAAAGACATTAATGTCTTATGATATTACATGTACTCAAAGACAATGTTTAATTGAATTGATATGGCATTGCATGGCATGATCGTTGGAAATGCCGCTATTTATGGATACCGTATTCATGATAGTTTTATAGTTAATATAATTATTTAAAAACATGTTTGCAACTTTTATTTAATGTTTGTGTATTATGGTAACTAATGGTAAAAAACAATTATCAATAGTATACAATTCGGTCATAATAATATAAACCTCTTATAACTGACAAATTGGCAACATGTGGCTTACATAATTATTCTAACAAAATGCATTGATTAAAAGTTCTTAAACCGAACAACTATAAAATGAAGCTAACGTTTGGGCAAAACATTACTCATAATCCTTTATATTTTGTTTGCATTGTTCTAGACTTATAAAGTGCATGTACGTACACACATGAACATCAGGTACACTTGTGGTTCAATGAACATCCGGAAATGTAATTATAGATACAATACATATCAATTTCAAAACAAAAAAATGTGTGCTCGCCTAGAAACATTTTTATAATTAGCGTGGCCAGGTGTGTTATTTATCTTAGTCTCTGATCAATAAAAAACAGGGCATAACATGATATATGATTTGATAGAGTAGTTTCATTGCACTTCCACTCTTGTTTCAACTTGTTTAAAGTATACAATTTTTAATTAAACTCTGTAATGTTAAAACTAAACTTTAAAGAAGCCCGATAAATTGAAAGGTTCAATGACGAAAGTGGTATTTACTTAACAAAGCATCGGACTGTATTATGCTTTAGTGTTTCCAATCACTTAATATGATTTCGAAAACAATATAAAATGTGTTGCTTTTGTTTTTGTGGTAATCACATTTAATATGTTTTGTTTGATCCCTAAAATACGTAACATATGAGTATATATTTCAGGAATCTCTTGACATAAGACATAATAATAAGTCAAATTGTGTAAAATGACATGTGTCGTCACAAGTTGTCATAAAATATTTATAATGTTAAATACCCGTTTCGCTCTAAAAATTGTTCAAAGAATGTTATATTGATTTAAGATTTTAAATAACGATTAAACCATTCAAAACTTGGCGCAAGTGTTAGTGATCTGTCTTTTATCCGGTTTAATTTCTCTGGAGTAAATGTTTTATATTCTTCCATGATATTACAACAAAATTATTTGAAACGTTTCATCCCTCAAAGTCTTTTTTCTTTGACAATTTATCTCAAAACGAGTTTTGTCTTTGTATTTTCTTTATGTCTTCTTCGTTTTTTACATGTTAGAAGTGTGAATCTTTATTTGTTTGTCAATAAGAGATCGAAGAGTTATTAGATTTTAACTAAGCCGAAGTAAAATATTTATTACTAACAGAAGAGAATGAGACTGATGATATTTGTGAGAGGAAGCCTCTATTGCTTTGATTTACTTCAAATATTTAATCTCAAGAAACTTTCATTCTAAGACATTTTTTGCTAATTAAATCAAGTGAAATATGTGAAATATATGACGAAAAATAACCGTAGCTCCCCTTATCTTCGCCTTTCATGTTTTAGATATTTCAATCATTTCATTTCTATGCTTATTTTTGTAATTTTGCTTTTTTCTTGTATTTCGAGTTATATTTGTATGGAAATTACACTGACCCTTATAAAAATATTTTCATGGAATTACCATTACCGTGCCGAAAAATGTGCTTGCAATTCTTATCTATCTTATATGTGTCTGTAGCAAAATAAATTCCAATATTTAATAGGATATGCAATAAAGCCATGAGCTCAAATGACAAAACAGATACTGGTACATAAGTAAATCTGTTTTTGAAAACAGGAAGTGAAACTGAACTTTCTGATATATAAGTTATAAATAAAACGATAACAATGTGATAACAAGCAGGTCTGAGAAACCGTAAATTGTTAGATACTATTTTTGTACGGAAATATTTTTTTTAAAAAAGTACCGAATATTTCTTGCGGATTTTCATATAAATTTACAGAATTTCCAGTATTCTTCAAGTAAAGAAACCTTTGAACCATTGTTAACATAATATACAGAAAAAAACTATAACGGATGGTTCTTTTTTGTGCTGCCTATCAATGAGTATTGGTTGTAACACCTCATGCAATACCGTCGTCTGTTCGTGGTGTTTATAAATTTATGGTAATGTACACAAGTTAAAAGAAAACATGCAACCATGAATTATATCCCATTCGTCTAAACATGCTGAAAACTTGTTGGTCAAAACCGTATTTAAAATGCAAGTCTTTATGTAATGTTTGATTAGGGATATCATCATTGTTTTTAGATTAATAAACATAACATGTGTAAAATGATTCATTTAGCGTAATGAACGAATAAGGAGCAATACAAATCTGAAATCTTGAAACTAAGGCAATACCAAATAAATTGTTTTACGTTTTGAAATATGTTTTATCAAATTACAACGAGATGCTATATTTCGAATGCTTCTTGGGGTTTACTATTATATGTTTTGTCTTTAATAAGTTATCTGTAACTTTTTAATTATATTTTGTTTGTTGCAATTATAACTGATTACTAGTGAATATAATAATAAGACAATTATGTTTAAAACCCCGTTATTAGGCCCACATCTAGCTTACCACGAAACCCATGAAAGCCAAGTATTTATGTTATTGCTGTATTTTCTTCTCTTTCTTTCCTTTCAACGTTTTCAGTTAATTATTCAGTTTAAATTCAGTTGACACGTTTACGTTTGACTAGGATAACATGTTTGAAAACTCATATTTGATTACTATTTTTTTTTCATCTGTGTAAATAGGTTACATATGTATTTACACCAACAGTTACTGTATATTGAAACTTGGAGTTGCTGACAAACAAGCAATATGACAATCACAAATGGATGAACTTAAGTAAAATATAAATCTGACGCATGTATGTATTTCTGCATGCTTCTTACGCAGATCATTTGACAGGATGTGAAGATGTACCTAGCAGCAAGAAAGTCAGACAAGTATTATTTGAGATAGTGTCAAGTAACAGCTACTATTCTAACAAACTAAGATCACAATAAAAAGGTAACCGTTAGTTTATCCTGATCTATCACTTGCATATTAAGCTTTTCGTGAATCTTTATTGAGGAAGGAAGTACCACACAGTTGCTGCAACTGCATTTAGCACTATCTTCTCTAGCACAATAAAATAGAATCGTAAGAAATTAGTCTCTCTAGATAATTCTTTTTCATTGATACTTATTAAGTGTAACTAAATTTGGAAAAATGTTGAAAATCAAGTGTTTTTTTATTTCATTGATTGGCTTGTGCAAAGTATGCGAATATAATAAATCACTGGCAATTATAGTATTCAATCTAATAATGTACATTCCCCAAACACCAAATCACGCTGACAAATTACAGTAATTATCTTTCCTCGCAATATAATATAATTGCTTTATGTCTAGGGAACCGAACCTCTTTTTCGAGACTATTAAAGATTGAGTAGTTCAAACATTTAGAGATCAATTTAGAAATAAAAGAAAGAAAGAAAATAACATTCTGAGCAATTCGGTAATGTTCGGGTTAACTTACATTACTGTATGAAGCAAAAAATAATGGTTGAACAATTTCAAAATATAGTACGTGAGTATATCTATGAAACGAAATGTCGATATTTAGTTTATATGTCACCCATGATTCTTCAATTGTACAATAAAGTGGATATATTGCTTTATTTGATCTCAGTTTTTTTAAAGAAAAATAAATCTAGCACCCATCTGTTTCTTTTCCAATCCGACAAAATACAAACGATATATATACAAGGTCCTCAGATATATTTAATGTCGGTTGTTTTGAAATCAACTGAATTAGATTTAAGATATTGATTTAAAGGAAAACATTTTGCATTATTTTGTCACATAATTTAAAAATCAATAATACTTTCTTAAAATTAATACATTTGATTTGAAGAATAATGTGGCATACCCTCTGAATATAGCTTATATATATCATGTCTTTATTTTGGGCATATAAACCTTACATGTATAATGATGAAAACGCTTCATGGAGCATATTATTTATCATTAACCTATAGCTCTTCAGCGCTTCTTATGTAAAATTCTTCCAAGTATAATTTCCAATAACCGTAAATTATACCATACCCAGACTATGGTATAATTTTCAGTTTTGAAAATTATACCATAGCAATATAACCTGAAATAAAATAAAACACAAAACAAGAAGCAAGGTACAGAAATTTTATTTCAGTCACAAAATAAATCTCATTAGGCTGAGAAATCGAGACATTTTGGCCAGAAAACACATGCCAAAATGTAAAACCAATGTATCAAATTGTCAGTTTTTACCAAAGTTAAATACACAATTATTGTAAAAAGTTTTAGCATCTTTTTCAAAGATTTTCTGAATAGGACTCTCCATTTCTAATTTCTTAGGCTTTTCAAGATCCACAAGAGAATTGTTTTCAAGTTCACCGCTTGTCACTGTTGATGAGACCATTTGCTTCTTGGAATCAAGTACATTTGAAATATCTCTCAACTGGTCACATGAGGGTCGTTTATATTTTCGAACACCTTGGACACTACGGTGTCCTGTACGATCCATTATACTCTGTTCGCAAACGCCAGCTTGATACAAAGTTGTTGCGCACGTGCGCTTTCCAGACTGATTTGTGAAATTGCCTTCGAGACCACTGCAAATATTTTTCATCATGTTTTCAAGTTTGTTTTTACCAAGAACTTGAGCAGATAATCTTTTAGTATCTTTAATTGGACGTTTATAAAATTTTACCACATCGTCTCCTAAAAGACTCGTATAATCTTGATACACCTTGTATATCTTATCAGAAGAATAGTGTTTAATGTTTTTGTTCTCCACCTTTTTGTGTTTTAAACCACCTTTAAAAGTTTTGTTGTCTCTACCAATAAACTGAATGAACTTTCCGCCATCATCTTCGGAAATAATAAACTGGTCACTTTCAAGATTGTAATGTTCGTCTCTGCCTCGCATTCCAAACAATTTACAATTGTAAAAGAACACTGCATTCAACAGACTTTCTGCATTTTCATATCCAAATTTTCCTGTACTCCACAACAATTCTTCCTGTTCTGCACTTACAGGATCAGCCTGCTTGATATTGGCACCGATGCCCTTGCTAGTCACATACTTCATCTGTGCATCTAGACATTTACGAAATGTTAAGAAACGATCGTCCTTCTCGTTCATATAATTCATATTTGGAATGCCGGAGTCACGAAGATATCTCAAGATTCCACTAGCAATAAGATAAAGTGACCGGGCTGGGTAGAAACTTCCATCCCGCTTCTTGACCTATTAAAATGTAACAATTTAGAATTAATACACGAACAAAATTGGCAACACACTATTACATTGGGCATCGACATCGGACAGGCTGGTATGTATGCCGATTGATATAGAGGTTGTCGGTCCAGAGATTTTAAACATTGTGACATACATAGCCATGCATGTATTTATAAAAAAAACCTCAAATCAGAAAAATTCTAGATTTAAATATACTTTTCTATTACTTTCAATTCCCTATGTTTGCATAATTGTAAAAGAAATTTCCATTTCATTTCCAATAATAACGACAATGCTATTGAAAAAAGATGAAATTCATGGCACCAATTAAAATGCTACGCTTTTACAAGGTTTAGGACAATCTTTTTTCCCATTATATTTAGCCATTTATCTGTCAAAGCTGTTTTTGCGAAATAATGGAAATTATCGAAAACAGCTAAAAATGGTATTTATCCCGATACAAAAATACTGAATTACAAGAAAAATAATGAAAATTAGAATAAATCAAACTGTACCTCCATGAGAAAACGGCTGAGATGGTTGTTCTCATCGTCTACATTAAAATCCTCTAATGGCGGTACCTGTTGGCTAAGTTTGCCGGCATTTCTGACCGTACGCCATTCGTTGAAGGCTTTTAATGCCCAATTTGTAGATTTTTTGGTATTTTTTGGAACAGACTGCTCCAGTCGTTCACGTATGTCACAATCCTCAAGGCTATCAAAGCGGCTTGTCTCAGAACATTCTAACGCCGTTGGCAACGGTATATTCATGGATTTTTTGTCTTGATTTTCAGAAAGCAAAATGTTGCTTTGATCACTTTCGTCCATGTTGATTGATATTTCGTTGATAAAGTCCTCTACATTTTGTGTTAGAAGAAAATTCACTCCAACTGTATCAATCCCCAGATCTGTCTCAGCCTGATCAAGGTACTGAGATAAAGCCATATCTTCTTCATAAATGTCCAGATGTTGAGACAAAATTATGTCTTCTAAATTTTCTGTGAACGACAAATTGTCATTCCAAGCCATGCCGAATCATGTGAATTGAAGTAAAACTTTAAAATGAGACAGATGACTGAATAGAGAAAAGGGTCCATGCCGCTACCAATGAAAATGTAGCTTCCACGCGGGGAAAAATCAGCCCATTATTTTGATTGACAGCTCATTTCACGTCTTTGCTGCTATGCAAATTCAGATCAAAGGGATAAGATTTTCTGGGCGGAGCAATAGGTTAAAACAGTAGCGTCATGTTATTTTGATTGACAGCTCATTTTACGTCATTTCTGCTATGGAGTAAGTGTTTCTGGGCGGAGCTATAGGTTAAAACAGATACACCATTGGTGCGTTGACGATTTCTGGGTTTGCGTAAATTATACCATAATCACGTGACCTTTCTTATGCGACCTCACTCGACTTCGTCTCGTGAGGTCAAGGCATAAGAAAGGTCACGTGATTATGGTATAATTTACGCAAACCCAGAAATCGTCAACGCAGCAATGGTATATCTATTACTTATCTTTTATTATATAATTTGATTTTTTTTCTGTGTAATGCAGTGCATTCCATTCCGTCAAGTACACATACGTTTTCATGTATGTACTTCCATTACAATGTCAGAAAACAATACTAGATTATGAACTACATGTTCAAGATGTTTGTCCGTTTTTAATTTGCGTAAACGTAAGGCATATGGATACATTGATGTGCACACAGGTAAAGAAAAATGCAACCTGATAGACACTCGAACCTGGGACTCAAAAATTACATTCTGCTTCAACGTTTGCATACATATTTTTAGTTTGTGAACTTTTAACCAAAAATTAATATGAGTATCTTTATCGGAGTTAAATTTAAAGAAAACTGTGTTACAAGGAATGCTTAAAAATACATAACATTCATTCATTGATTAAACCTGAAGGCAACTTCTTACTAAAATAAGTCAAAACCATCTTATACCTTTACTTAAGATATTAAAGTTCCGTCAATTCTTATCATTTATATCAATTATTATGAATGTCCGTTAATACTCGACTGGACTGTTAAAATGAATACCAATGTATGCTTAGTATTTAGTTTCAATGATTTAAGAAATTATCGTGTTTTTTAACAATGGCAAAAATGGAAAAATGAGTATGTTATTGCAAATCTTAATAAATACCTCACCGCCTTGACTTCTGGCATATCGGGACAACAACTGAAGTCATTTTGATATAAAGAAATTGACTGTGTTGTACACTTTCTTATTCTAATATTAAACAAAATCAACAATTTATATTGAGAGGCGTTCTTAAGCAGATATGCATTCAATTTAATTACTGTACTATTCATTTTGAAGAAATAACCTGAATGCATTAGTACTGAAAGTCACTCTAAGCTCATAAAATAACCACTTTGCTTAATAGTAATTGTTCTATTGCTTCTAGAAATGATACGGCCATAAACAAAAGTGATATAAATAACACATGAAGAAGTATATAACTTTGAAAAATTGCATAAAGTATTCATTATTTTTTGGTTCACAAATGTGTGTTGTCTCATTTTTGATATAATACGTACATTGTACACGTATATAGCTGCATCAACAACAACAACAACAAAAATTATGAAATAAAATCCCGAAGATGAATATAACCATTAGCCATATTGCAGTCGATTTTTAAAGTAAATAATGCATCTCTTTTCGAACTCTTACATTATTTCAAACAAGATATAGCAATAGAAATATAACTATAAAATATAGAAAACAGGGTTCCATATGATTATTTGATAAAATGTAAGTGTTCTGTCATAGGATTGTGTTATTAAATATCATAACACTATTGAATCAGGTTCAATTTCCTCAAATGTTCATAGATTTCAGTTGCACATACGATTTAAATAATGAATACACACTTTAAAATTAGCACAATTGTTTCATGTAACAGCTATTCATTTCTATAAACAAATGCTTTCATAGCAGATACTGTATCTGAAGTGTCTGGTATATAAGCTATCTAGATTACAAGTGTGATAACTAAGCAGGTTTGAGAAAAAAGATATGTTAGATAAGTATTTTATCTGATATAATTATAATTTTGCCAACTTGAAGCATTTCCAGCGGGTGCTATAGATATTGAGTTAATGACTTTCAAGTAGTTTCTTAAACAAAGTAAGCAAATAAAAACAGGCATTATATGGGTGATTCTTTCCACGCGCCTCTTATCATAGGGTAGGAATTTGTTTTTATATTTTTATTTTTTTGTTCGTTATTTTCATGCAATTTATTTGCATAAGGTTAGCTTTTGCTTATTATATTATTGCTGCTCCTTTTGAACACCAAAAAAAATAATTCGTTGTTGTGTCAGTATATTGGCAGGTAAATATAAATGGAACAGGAAATGTCGTACGACACATATGTCCCCTTTCCAGCCCTTGATTCATACTATTGGTAACTTTGTTATAGAAACATGCAATAAATGGGTACATGGGAGTGTTCAGTTATCGAAAAAAATTAATGACCAATATATGACCTAAATCAGAATAAAAGCCATCAATAATCGTTATTAAAATTGGAGGGCACCTGGAATAAAATATTAATTATTATCAGAAAAATATATATAACTATTTTGAAATTTAAGGTCACTGTGACTTTGACTATCGACCATGTGACCCTAAAACAACTGAAGTCATCTACTAGTTATGACCAAACAGTATATTAAATATGAAGACTTTTTGATAAATAGTTTTCAAGATAATCAGCGGAAAACATTCTGACATTTAAGGCCCCTGTGACCTTGACTTTTGACCTTGTAATCCAAAATCAATAGGGTCATCTACTAACTATAACCGACAAGTATGTGAAATATAAAGAATTTGAGATGAATAGTTTTCAAGATAATCAGCGGAAACCATTTTTACATCTAAGGCCACTGTGAACTTGACCTTTGACCTAGTGACCCAAAAATTAATTTGGGTCATCTACTACTTATGATCATTTAGTATATGAAATATGAAGACTTTGTGGCGAATAGTTTTCAAGATAATCAGAGGAAGACATGTGGTCTATTGACGGACAGACCACTGACAGACAGACCGACCGACATAAGCAAAATAATGAACCCCCTCTTTTTCGAAGAAGGGGGGGTGTAAAGATGAAAATTGACTGCATTGACATTCACATTTATGCTCTGTAATTCTTTTTTGCTGTACTTTAGGTTTGTGATCCGCAATGTGTTATTCTAAACACCACCCTTGCAACGTTTAAAATTGAATTAAAACATATATAAATAAATATTTTAGACGGTTATAAAATTTGTATAAACTAGTCACTATTATATTTCATGGCTTTATGGCGGATAGCAGCAATAATCACAATCATAATGATACATATGATACGCAGTAAAATATGGACATTCCTTCTGATCAATTGAAGTTTTTAACGCCTGTGAAAACGTACTCACATACGTATTTGTTTTATTTTAAAATGTGCTTGATCTCAAGAGATTGAGATTTTTTATGATGATTTCGATTGTGCGCTATTTCACGAAAAAGGAAACGGAAGAGGAATAAAATTGAAAATGTTGAAATAAGAACTTTGCTCGTGATACTTATTTAGTATCACACTACTTGAAAAATAGTACCTGTACGTTGGGCACCGCTGGCTGTTACTTTTCTTTCATTATGTAAATATTTCAAAATCAAAATGCCGAGTGAGAAACGAGAACCATTACACCTGTATTATACTAATATATGTCATGAAAGATCAGGAGTTTCAAATATTATAATGCATTTTTATGTTGTTTTTTTAAATAAATGTTTGTAAATAAATTTCATTTAAAGGCAATGGTAAAGTGTACTTTTTGCATATAACAAGCGCACACGTCGATATGAAATTGTTAAAAAAATGTTATGCATACGAAATACTTTTAAAATAATCCATACTAATAACACATAATCCTGTGAATGAAATGTCTTAATCCGAATAGAATTCTGGGCTGCGTTTCATTGAGAGCCCTAAGTCTTAATTCGGTCTTAAGAAAGGTCCTAACTTATGACTCCTATATTTTTGACCAAAAACAGTCCTAAGTCTAGGAGTGTTTAAAAGGTATTTTAAGATTGTCCTTAGTCAAAACCACTCAAAAATCAAAGATGGGGGCGTTCATGGTAGTGTTTCAAAGACGTCGGCCCCTGCTCCGGGGGACAGGTCACATACGCTGGACGTCTAGATACTGACGAGGAATTGATTAGTCGATACTGTACAAATTTCCAAGGGACTCGCTCATGCAAATCACCGATTTAGTGAAAGGGGATATTGAGAATTAATTTTACCCATAAAATATGGTGCTTTATTTAATTTTACCCATACAATATGGTGCTATATCAGTCAAATATATGTCATAATTGTAAAAAAATAAAATGAAATATAAATATGAAAGTGGGCGGAGTCAAAACTCATATTTATTTTAAGGGACTTCTTTCGCCATTTTGTTTGAAAAATCTGATAAATACAAAACAACTTTTTTGTTAAATTTTGTTTTGAAACCTATCTAGAATGATAGAACATGGTCTAACTAAGAAAATAAATCCGAACACCAATATTTTTAATTCAGTCATTAACGCTGTACAGACGTTTAAAGAGTTGTTTACGTGATGTCACAATGTAGCGCCAAATATCGCGTGCAAACCAAGACGCATCTATAAATAATATATTATTGTGCGCAGTACAATTGCAGCAAACAAGAGGGTTATTAACCATTTTTCTTTGATAAAAGGTCTCTTTTTCGTTTTTTGTGAAGTATGGAATATATTTTCACTCAACATGATAAAATGCCACATATTTTCACTCGCCGTCCATGATTGTGAAAATATGTGTCATTTAATCATGTTTCGTGAAAATATATTCCATACTTCACAAAAAAAACGAAAAAATATCCTCTTATTCTTTGTTGTGTGGTTGTTGTTCTATCAGTTGCTGTTTTTTATCAACAATAAATGCATGTTTCTCCTTTGATTAAGTTAAATTTACTTCAACTTTCGAAAACGGTAATATTTTATGTCAATTAAGTCAAGAGGGCATACATTACTTTTTAAAATCATTTGCATAGTAAATCCAATCCGGGATTATGCGCGTGCCATTGTATTTTGTAACTTTTTTCAGGAGAGCGAATTGGTCATAAGTCTTAAGTTTACGACAAAATATAGGACAGTTACTTAAAACGGTCTTAAGTGCAAAAACTTTTTCTCCTAAAGTTGGTCATGAGTCCTAGGATTTAGGATTAACTTAGAACTCTCCATGACACGCAGCCCCGCTTTGCTAAAATAACAACACACAAACACACAAGCTCGCACAAACAGAAAGACACACATACAACAACCACAAAAACAACAACAACAGCATCATCAGCAAAGACAACACAAACACAAAAATTAAAATATTAAAACAAACAAAACACCAAAGGCATAACACATGTTATAAATACAGATGATAAATCAATCTTATTCGCAAGGAATGCACATACTTTTACTGACACGTGCA